CGGTGCGGGCGCCATTCCGGCCACTTTTCCCGACCGCAATGAGAAAAAACACCAGGTCATTCCAAAGGTCAGAAATCATTGACATAACCGTTTCCTTTGTGTACGTAGGTAACGAGCCCAAATAATTCAACTACTGGGTGAACTGCTCAGGGCTCCTGCGAAACAGTGGAAGTATATACTTACCAAACTCAGCAATTTTCTGCCCGCCCCGACCCCCCCCCCACCGTGCCAGGCAAAGCACTTTACCCAAATCTCAAAGTCCTCCAGCCTTGTAAGTCTTGAACCTTCCACCGCCCACTTTTCAAGCAAGATCGGCTTCTCAATCCGCCGATGACGGCAGCTCGCTGGGGTCAGATTCCTGGCTTGTTCTGTTATGTGGGGCTGCAAGATATCGAAATGCAAGTAAACATGCTACCCCCAATGCCGCATCCCAAACTCCAGGCAAGAATCCAATGTGAAGTCATCATCATCTGTGCGCCCGAGCAGCTTGTACAGGTCTCGCCTTGGGAGAGGGCAAGAGTATCTGAAAACGGTGACCCTCTTTGCATGCGTCATAGCACTTTGCCGCCTCTTGCCTTAAAGAGAAAGTTCCACATTGTTGCATTGAAATTCCCCGCAAATGTGACCACACGTGGAGATATGCGGAGTGCCGATTGTGGAGCTGTAGATAGCTGTGGCCATTTTAGTGGGTCAGAGGGCAGGCGAATGTAATGCTAAAAATTAATGGGAGGAATAAGTGAATACGGACGACCATGGCACACAAAAAACGCTGGTAATGAGCTGCAAGGACCTGAGCAGCCCTCTTGAAGAAGGGTAATATCAGTAGCCAACCTCCTCCCACCACTGCTGCTTCTACGCCATCATGATGTTTCTCCAGGTCTCGCACGTGCGGAGAAACAGCTTCTTACAATCGAGGGTTATGCAATGACATGCGGAACGTGCTTTCGACTTTTCATGACTTTCACCGGAAAATGCAAAAAGGTCATTCAATATTGACTGGCAGTTCTATCAAGGTCAATTTGCAGCATCAGCGTCGATAAGCCAAACTTGCCATAGATTCACCCTGAAAACCAAACATGCAAGACCGGTAACCTGCCAAAAGAAGCCTTCTGGCCAATGTTCTGGGCAGCAGCGATGCTTTATCTGTGCTGTAATTTTAGTAGCGCTGAAAATGCCCAGGAACTTCAAGCTGAAACACCCTCCATCCCCCAAACGCAGAACCCCACCCCAAATGGAATAGATTCGCTTCGAGGCTCAACTTCCCTGCAGCAGGAGGCCGTAGCTTCAAAGGCGGCCTGGGGATGGGAAATGGCGGCTTGTCAAAGTCTGAATGGTTTCTGAAGCCTTGTTCTGAGAATCATTTCATTTCCTGGAGAACCTGTATCTTTCCTGACTCATGGCAGGGCCCGTTTTCTTACGTGATTGATTCCAGTGACGTTCCTGTCGCAATTGCACTCTGAAACTTGAAAAGCTATGACGGAAAAACCATGGGCTTGAAAGCAGCCGCTGTCTCAACGATGCCAGGCTGCCTCTGTGTCGGCTCCAGCCTGTCCTGCAGAGCCATCCACATGGCAAGAATACCAACACGCTCTTGCGGATTCTTGCAGTAAGAGGACAGCATGGTGGTGGTTTGGAGCGGTTGAGGTCGTCATTACGGTTCGTTCCGCTTCGGGACTCGTGCTCTACAGCGTCACCACAGGTTCTTCTCTAAATCTTGATTTGTTTCGGGTATGTTTGCAAGTACGACACCTAGTGTTCGGGCCACGAAAGAAGAGTACCCAATTTAGGAAAACTACTACAGATCTCAACAAAGATTTGTATACACACCCGTAATGCAGACTCGTCATGTCGCTGCTCCTTCATTTGCCGGTTGATCTTCGCCACCTTAGCAAGGCGTTTGACTTTCTGAAGCTGGTGAAGGCTTCAAGCCTGCAAGAACCCACGCTTGAACCCTCCAGCTCTTAACTCTTGAGCCTTCCCCACCCAACATCTGTCTGCAACACCCCTAATTTCCCATGCAGCATCCTCCAACATAGATGCCTCTAACCCCATTCCGAGGAGAGCGGGAGCCGTGACCCACAGGTACAAACATTGACAGGCTGAGGACTGGACCATATGTAGCAAGACCTCCGGGAGAGAAAGCAGCTCTGTGAACTGCAACTAAGGATGCGCCGACCAATTGAAAGCTTGGCTGGCCTTGGACTACAGGTATTTCCTGAAAGCTGTGCTTGTACAATTTGTTCTTTTGCCCTCAGAAGCTAGGCGTTCACGCCTGAGCTTCGCAAAGGCCTTTTGGCAAGCATGGGCCGTCTCTTGCGGCCTTCTGCTTAAGGTCTGGAACCAGACAGTCCCTTCAGAGTATTGAAAAAGGAGCCCAAACGATAGCTTCACTGTAGGTATGAAACCATGTCACCGAGCTTGCAGTGACCGGGCCTGCCCCACGGTCATTGTAAAATAACCTGTGAACTCATAGAACAGCCTAAGGTAGGGCTCTTGATTCGGGATTCGATCTCCCTAACATGACTTACTGACATGCCCTGCTGCCACGAATCAGCATCTTCATTGCGACGGCAACCCTTGACTCCTACGATCCTCTGTAGTACAGGCTCTTATCATCGAATCGTTCGCTAAGGCTGCTTATTTTTGCAGCCTGTAAACGCCCGAAAGCCAGGATGGGGTTCGTTGAAAGCGTTAAACAACCGACCCGCAACTCAAAGACGGCGCAAAAACACCCTGCATTCTCCCATCAAGTCCGTTTTACGGAGAAAAGAATCTACCATATTGGGAAAACCCTAGTATTTAATACATTTTTAACCAGTATGATAACTTAATTTACGTTCCTTAACAGCAACCCAGTTGAGCTTTGGTTGTAGCCCCAGCCTTCCTTTCTGTGGATGTGAGGTACGGCCAGGTCTTCTCGGCCTTAGCAATGCATTTGGGGTTTCCCGAAAGTAGGGGTGCCTTTAAAGGGGATTATGGGGGTTATTTAGGGGTATATAGGGTTTAGGGATTTTCCAAAATTAGGGGTACCTTTTGGGGGCTCCCCATAGTAAGGGTTATAGTATTTTGGGGTCTATATTTTGGGCCGGTTGTTTAGGGAAACACTATCCAGCTGATTGGATTTAAATAGTTTGGGCCATGGTACAGCAACGCGAAACAGTCCCTTGGCCTCAAATCCTGAAACCATGTAGTAATATGCGATGCTCGACGACATTCATTTCTGACTTGAGCAATTGAGCAGGAAGGCCAACTTGAAACAGGATTATGCAGGTCTACCATGGAAGGAAACACCTTGCAACGCGGGCCTGTATCCTCATGACCTTTGCCACATATGCTACACAAACCCCCTTCCTCTTGCTAAACCCAATGCTTCCCAGCATTGAAAATACAGACCCGCAAGACTTGTCCTAGCGGCATCTCATGCTAACTGGTGGGGAATTGTTCGAATGCACTCTGAGCCCTCGGCCCGGTCTGTGTGGAAACCACCTTGCCGCTCGGCCTGGGTGTAATTCCTCAGCGCCAGGGCTTGTGTGTGGATTTGTAGAAGCTGCTGCAGGTCACGGGAACGTTCAAACTGACTATTGGCACGGTCATCCCTTTGGGGACCTTAAGGATTTATAACTGCTGATCGTACTGAAAATCCATTCCCATCGTTTAGGCATGCATTTGACAAAACATGGTCTTAGCCAAAAGTTGTGGCGTTAAACGCGACAAAACCCAGTTCTCAATATGAAAGCCAGAATGCACTGGCGGAGAATTGCGCAATCTTACCCCAACTTGAAGAAGTTGCTATCCCACGTGCGCCACATAGTTTGAATCTTGTACGGTCAAAGGCGAATGAGGGAGTCCTAACTTCCCCCTCTCTAGTTAAAGCCCAAACGGAGTGGACGGCCATATCTAATAAGAGAAGGACATTTGCTTCACACTCGCTACAGCAGGGGTACAGACCCTCAAACCCGCTTCCCTGGGCAGCCACGGTACACCCTGGCAAAGATTCGGCCTCAAAAGGCGCAGGGATGGGTGTAGGCAAGTTTTCCAAATTTCCCGATGTGCCTTGATGTTCTGTCTTCAGCATTTGGGGTGGGGCTGTTGAGGAGCGCTTCAACTTCTAGTGTGAAACACAATCGCCACTGTCAAGCTGCAAAACACGAAGTAATTTGTGGAAGCTTGGGGGTGAATTTGGCATCATGAATTCTGCTGCATTAGGAGCAAAGATGCTTTTTGCTTCGAACGAATTGAATATTTTTGAACGGTTCGTTCACAAGTGCCACGGGGACTCGAACCGTGAGAAATCTGCATTGCACCAGGCTGTGGGCATGAGGGGCAGAGTCTTCACCCTGGGGGTCAGGCTGCGAGGAGACGGCCGCTCTGAAGAAATGATTAGGTTTGGATGGTTTGGGGGAAACGTACACCCGTAGGTGCAAGTGGTGAGTGGTCAACTGGTCGAATAAGTGTGGGGTCGTAAGCGATTGCGTGGTCCGAAGTGGTCAGTCCACTGTGCGTGCTTGCAGCCTGCCCTGCTGTTGGCTCCTTCAGCCGAGGGACCCGAGGTTCATGGTTTAGGGCTTAGGGATTCCAGGGATATGAGCTCACGCATAATTTCGGAGGGAGTTTTGCTAGGCCAGATACAAGTTAGCCCTTCACTTTCACAGCGAAATTCACAGTGCCTTGCACAGAGTCTGCATGGGAAGATTGGTTGTACTCAAGGGTTGTGAGATTACGAGAGGTCACCTTTTGGAGAAGTAGACAAAGCGATTCTACACGTGTACACGGCATAATACACCGTCTCCGTACACACGCATTTTTAACAGGGGCATGGCGCAGCATGATACGAATCCCATTGATTGGTATCCGATGTGTTGCTGCTAGTTTGCGTGAAATGTGTAAGATTGATGATAGAGGCCTTTCGTGAGTCCGACCTTATCGTTTTTGGTATCGTTTTGGGTCCCTCGTGTTCCCATGATCTAGGGCCATGCTCAAGAACTTATTNNGGTACTGGTCAAGTGCTGAGGGGCCATCATCAAATGATGATGGCGCATCAGAAGACCACCATATATACATTCCCATTTTATCGGCCACTACAAGACTGAACCTCATCTTTTTTTCTACTCCTCATTGTTTTACACGTCAAGCGCTATCTGAGGACACTCCTTACATAATGGAGACAAGCCGGGTTATTATACAACCCCAAATGTTTTGCACATGGTTTGTGTCGAATCTGGGGTACAGCTGGTGTGAAAATGTGAAAGATTGCGATGGCATCCCACTAGCACTCATGCTTCGTACTCCAACACCTCTCCAACGTTTCTCAATAGATATGGAAATGCCCAATCCTGAACTCCATGTCCAAAGTCTTTCCACACAACCTTCAATGCTCAAGCTCACATACCCTGTGGTGTAGTTTTTGCTGTTGGCCTTGGTCTGGCCCCGTTGCCAGCAGAATCGCTTGCAGCCAAGGCGGTGATGATTGAATCAGCCGGCCTCGACAGTAGGCGTGGGCTTCAGGTTGAAAGATTCAGAGTTGCAGAAAGAGACGGGAATGTTTGTTGGAGTTGGCATAGCGTACAGTGTGGTGCTGGGTTTCTCGGAATAGTGGAAACCTTGGGGGCTTTGCGGGGAATGTGCATGATTTTAGGGGTCGCGGCTTCGCGAAGGAATTTCTCTTGTGGGGATCCTCGGGGGATATGAGGACTAAGACGGCATTGGACCAGCAACTTTTTAAAAGATAATACAGGGCTTGGGCTAATGGCTGGAAAGCGCTAGTCGCTGGAATGCTCGTCTTTCTCGTGAGAAGTGCAAAGCTCTGAACATCAGGCTTGCCTCAAGCTTGCTATGCAAGCGGCGCTTGGAACCTCAGGTGTGGTCTAACTGCTACAAACCTTGAACTCTAAATAGCTCTACACCTGCACTTCCGAACCTTTGAATGGCGAGGTGTTGCCCAAATTACGGTTCCCGTAGCTGGGAGAAACTAATATGCTGAACCCAGGCATACAAGCGCGTGCTATACTACTTCAACGAAACTGACGAAACTAACCAAAGGGCCTTGCAGAAATGTTGTCGCAGTGGTTAAGCAGAACTCTTCTCCTTGCATGCAACCCTTTTGGACGCCCTGCTGCGCCCACTCTTGAACGCAAGGCCCTGAAACGCACCAGTTATGATCTTTGACCGCGCCTCTATCTGGATTGTGCATCACAGGCCCACACTCATCGTCCACCAACACCTGTCGTTAGGCAAGTTGTGGGTTTTGGGGTGCATTATGTGGAATCCAAACACTTCAGGGCTTGCGGTCCAGATATTCGGGTGGTTTCAATTCATGGACTCCTTTGACTGACGTGCAAAACCCTTCTTACATAGCACTGGCATGACGGAATTCCCCATCTTAGAAGCCCGTAAGATCTTCAAACTGGAGTTGGGATGCATACCCAATTTCCCACAAACCATGTTGCAATTTGTTAACAGGCGAAATGAGCGAAATGCACGGCTCACTTGGACGGGGTTTCACTGCAGAAAATAAAAAAAAAAACACACCGAGACTCTGGGCCAGCAGTTGAAGAATGCCATGAGCGCCATCCGCCTAATGGATGGCCCCAAAACTTGGACTCAAAATAATGAGCTGAGGAAGAAAGGACCAATGACCTTCAATACCAAGGTAGGAGTTGCTGACTGCATCTGAAAGCTGAAGTCGACCTCTAAAGAGCATACTCATGACCTTGGAAGACAGGACACTGTGAGCCATGAGTGCCATTGCCTCCTCTTCCACACCATCGACATCCACCATGACCTTTGCGTTTAGGGATTCTGTGGCGTGGGTGTCTGACTTCAAGGTTACGGAGGAAGGCGGTGACATTGTGTGCTGGTCCAGGTATGCTTGCCGGCTACCGTGTACTACTGTGGACTGAGGACATCTTGCAAACATCGCCCAAGAATGCAGGTGTCCTGTCTAGATTCTTCGCAGGAGTCACCCATTTTCATCCCTTGTTGGCTTTGAGTACGCTATGTTGCCAGCTGTGGACAGATGTTGTGATCTGGCGCTTAGCGACGCAACCTTCAAATCATCATTTCATCAAGGGACAGGAATATCAAACAATCTCCCCCAAGCACATAAAAAAGGTTGCTGGATAACAGCGCCTCAAAGAAACACACCGCAACAAACACATTATGAGGCTGGGGAAGGCCTGAAGAATGTGATCTTCTTCCTCCTGCATCTGGGAATATTCCGTCCTGATTGCCAGGCGGGGCCCTGAGATGAAAAATCTGCTCGCCAGTAGATTTTGGGTATTCAGCCTCAGATCGGAACTCCACGAAGCAGCTTCGATCCCTTGCTTCCCCATTTAATTTCTGGACCAAGAGGTCTCTGGTTTGGGTTGTGTTTAGCAGTGCTTAAGCAGCATGCCCAAACACCGACCTTGCCTTGGAGAGTTCGAATCTGAATTGACAAGCCGAAAAACCAGGCAAACCAACTTAGACTCTGAAACTGCACTCTCTAGAAGATGCTGTGGCCTTTTAGGGGCTCCGAAACTCACTTACGTGAGGAAACTTTGCAAGTCGAGGACCACTTTGGCTCATGCCAACTGCTTCATGCTAGTCGCCCTACGCTCAAGAAAGCCAATCACACAAACCGGGAACTTCAGCTTCCAGCTTAAGCAGCCGCTTTTAAGTATTGGAAATAACTGCACTGGTAAATTGCGTTGAATTGCGTTGACATCCTCCTCCTCGCGCGTCAAGTTCTACAATTAACACCTTCCCCACAGCAACCCCATAAAGCAGCTTTTCAAATTTCGCAGCATTTGCTTCACTAGTATGAAGCCAGCTTGACATTCTCTGCCATGCGATGCCAGCTCTTGCAGAAGCAGCTGCTGCATGCACAGTGTCCCTTGACCCCCAAATTCCTAAGATGTCATGCGGGGCCTTTGCAGCACAAGGGGTACTTTAGGGGGGCATGAAGGGAACACGGAACGGCTACAAGGGTTCCTCTGAGATTACATCAAACTCCCATGAAGTCACTGCAGCCTGCAGCTCCATCTGGAGGGACATCATAAGTCTGAGGTCAGCACGGACTTCATACCTCAGCTTCGTTCGTCCGCTTTGAAGAGTGTTGCAATCAGTATGGCAGTCACAATCCTTACTATGCAGTGACCTCCTGTTTCTACTAGTCCATTTGCCAAAAAGGCTTGCTGACAATAGTCATCTCTACCTCTATGATGGCGGTCCTGTCGATGTCAATGATGCAAACTTTTGTGCGACCGGACATCATGGGCCTCCAACACAAGTAACTACCAATGACCCTACATCATGACTAAATCTCAAGCGCTTCGGAACAAGCTTCGAAAACAGTGGCTGGGACCATTTAAGAGGTGACTTGCTCATCTGCGAATTTGGCCAAGCTGCCGTCGTACAGTGTCGACTTAGAAAAGTTCACCTTGGATTTCTGAAGCCGCCGCTGCGGTGGCAATAAACTTGCTTGAGCTGTCAACATTCGTTTTGGTGCTGCGAGGCTGTTGGCAGCTTACACTTGTTTGCTCCTTCTGCAGGACCTGTCAATCCCAAACAAAACGTGTGTCAACAGTTTGAAGCAGAAAACCGCACACAATAGACAGCAGTAACAGTTGTGTGATTACCATGTGCGCCACGCGACTCAAACCCATAAATGAGTCGTGGTCGCCATTCGCAACAGACACAATAACATGATTGTACAGACTCCAATGTTCCCCATCTTCTTGGGCGAGTTACCATGCTTCCGCTGACCGCCCATACGCGATCCGATGCCACAAACCCATCCCCGTGTCCACCTCAACAGGTCTGCAATTCATTGGACATGGTTTAGAAGCTTGGCAGGGGGACAGGGCATGTTTTGTGTTGGTCAAGGATGCTATTCTCTCTATGAGTTTTCAGAATTCAACGCAGGTAGATGCGGATTTCCTGGTCTTTTATTTATTCATGTGCCTGAAGATTTTGGAATGCAACTCTACTGTTTGGCTCTCTGGGGTCTGAGATCCCGGGATCTTTTGTTAAAAGCGTTGCTCCGCGACTCTGAAGAAACGGGTGCTGATGGGCAAGATGGTTCAACTGAAGCGAGGGCACAAAAAGAACGCATTCCGTCGCTCAAACGGGCTTACGGCATGGGCCAAAATCACTCGTTCGCATCTGCCAAAGGGAATCCCGTCTGTGCTAGCTAGCTACTAGCACCTGCGGATAAAAACATGCTAGGACTATGGGTACACCTTTGCAACCATATCGGGGTTTCCTTTCCGCCGAGTAGCTTATGAGGCTCCTCGTGGATGACATGTCGGAGGGATGCACGAGACAAAGCAACGCAAAGGTCTTGCTTGACTCGTTGCCTGTCTGTGTGCCTGCTTGCCTACAGGTTCCTTTGTCTTTTTGCTGGTTTTTGCTTTTGCCATTTTGCTTTACTAACGGGGTTTGCTTGCTGAGTTGTTGATTTGCCTACATGTTTCTCTGTCTGTCTGTCTGCTTGCTGGCTGGCTTCCAATCTCACTTACTCATTTGCAAACATCGACGCCGTGGTTTCGCTTTGCACGCGCGAATCTGAGCTGAATTCCCATCACAGTGGTCAATCTTCCTGCAATTTCAGAATACAAGATGGCACTGGCCAGGTTGATCCCGTGACTGTAAAGTTCAACAGGGGCCTGAGTGACCTGACTGGTGTCAGAACAAGGATTTGGAGCAAACATGCGGTGCGGCGATCATGTTTGGCACAAACCGAAACAAGAATTTTGCTGTGTTTAAGGTTTAGGCTACCAGGAGTTCACAGAATGCTAGACGGCCTACTTGCGGATGGAGGACCTGGCTAAACTGGCTGCTGACCTGAAGCTTGCATCAGTGTGTCGCCGATGCTTTAATCGACCATCTGCCACCGCAAGGGCATCAGCAGATTCTATCATGGCTGCATTTGAAATCTGGGCATCTCTGCGCATCCGAGGTTTTTCAAAACAGGATCCTATCTGAAACGGAGACCTTTTGACAGCTGTCCCGTCATCAATGAACATTGCCCGTGGAACGGGGCACAGTCTGAATCAGACAGCAGGAGGCAATCGCAATGGTTCAAGGTAGCAGGAAGGGGAAGAAGCTCAAACGGTTTTAACTTCCCAGTTTGGGCAATAAACAGTTGTGTCCACCTTACAGCTCAAAGAGCAAATGATTGCTGCTGCAGTCAGCTCATTCTACCTCGGCAACTATATTTATTAGAGTTTCAGTATCTCCAGCCTGAGAGGTTCTTCGGATGAAGGGCCTCCGCGTGTTTTAGACACGACAACAAATGAACAGTGGATTGGCGTGGGCAAGAAACTTCATTTTTTCCTCTTCGAAAAGCCAGCTACCTTCCGAATGCGAGATGGAATCCTTCATCAACCGCAGCATCTTCAGCTGCTGCAATTAGAGAATACTGAAACGTCACGAATGAAAATGCCCATGAACCCTTCGACGAACTCTTCGCAGCTTACTGCTCCAGATTTGTCGATATCCTTTTTGCTGCCCTAAGGGTCCGTGAGGCTGCTACATTACGGAAAGGCTCCTGTGCTGTCCATCAAATGAGGGATGCCCAAGTGGAGATATATTTCTCGAGACATCCCATAAACTCAAAACAGCTCCCAACACTTTTCACTGCCGCGTGTCCAAAACGTTGAAAAGCTTTGTCCTGCTGCCAACGGAGGCTTTTACTCACAACCGGTCTGGGATGTGGACGCTCTTCTCCAACTCTTTCATCTCCTTTCATGCTCAAACGATTGCAGCGCATGCTTCAAGTCAACTGACAGGGGAACGATCTGCATGCGAAGGCTCCCTTCTTCTATTCATGGAATGCCTTCGCGGGGCGCGTGGTTATGTACCCCCGCAATATGGAATGAACCGCCGGCATCTCTTCAGGGCTTGGCATACATGGATGCTGGTGGAGCATGACCTTCCGATTTTGATGGTCCAGCTTGCACAAGCACAAGGGCGCCTGAGTTTCCCCTCTTCCTTTCGCAATGCAGTGGAATGCTGCAGCGATGCTTCCACCAGGGCTGCTGTCACAAGGTTCCTCAGGGGTGGGCTGTTGCCAGATTCTGTGCTGGGTCCGCGCAACTGCTGTGGATACTGCTCATGGAGCCCTACTTGACCAACAGCGGCCGGTAATTGCAGAACCACTTAATCAGCTTTGTGAATGCTTACCAAACTTTCAAACAAGTAAGGGTTTTTTTTTTATGCTTGGCAAACTTGTTCCGCCCCCCAACCCACCTGCTTCTGCATAGTAGAAAGCCAGCTTGTCTGTTCAAGCCCCTCCATCTTGCGCACGGTGTCCTGAAAGCCAGAATTCACTAATTGCGGGGTCAAAGCCAAAAATGCTTTTGCTTTTACCAGAATCCTTGAAGTTCCCGTTGCGACCCAAATCAGTCCACACCTTTTTTCAAACACCCGTGGCTATGGACTGGCACAATCAAAATCTTTGGGAGGTCCACTGAGAATCTAACAACGCGTCTAGCAGACATTTGACAACCCCCACATCCGTCACAATTACAATTGCTGCCCCTTAGGGATCAAAATGCAAATATCTGCTTATTGGTCGGTATCATGCCATGTCAAGAATTGTGCAGGCAGCCACTTTCGCCTCAGGTCCTCCGAAGGTTGAACAGCTGGTGGCAGTTCTTGCACGCGGGCGTATGAGGGCTTCAACGCACACCTACGAAAAATCCACCTTGGTGCCGTGGAAGATGCAACAGCGCCTCGTGTACCATTCAGGTACAGCACAAACATCCAAGTCCAGTGCTTGGGCAGGCCCGAGGAGTGCCCGTTCTGGTAGCCGCGCGAGTTGAACAGCAAGAACCAACTCTGATGGGAAGAAATGTTTCGGGGAATGATCTTGTCGCTGCGATGCCTGGTCTCATCAATTCATGTCCTGAGCTCGAATGAACAAGAAGCCATGTTGAACAAATTTGTGGGCTAGTACCCCGCGTGCCAGAAGGATTTGAACCCTGAAATGTCCACATCTTGCATCCAGGAGGACTCTTGATGCTGGTTACTCCCATATCAGATCACACTGCAACAACAAATGCAAATGAAGCCGCGCAGGCCCACGCAAAAGCGCTCTTCCGCATGATCGCCGACAGCACGCGACAAGGAAGTCAACCCAGAACAAAGCAAACTGTCACACTGGTCCCAAGTCGGCTGAGTTGAGACGTGTGTGACAGGCGTCAAAATCTACGCTGCTACGCTCCCTGGAGAATCCGCACAAGATCCCCAGCATAGCACCAGAATCTTAGAGACAAAGCAAACTGTCCGACTTTACCAATCTTTGGCTAGCTCTTGTCAAAAGATGATCACTCTGCTGTTGCAAAAGGTTTAAAACAGCAGACCACGCGCTGTTTTCTTAAAAGACCACGTCAACAACTAGTCACAGCCATCTGCTGATGTGTATAACAGCCGTCCTAGAGCGCTGCCAAATCCATGCTCCAAAATGTCCAGTAACCCCAAGTCGATCGCCGTTCGGGCAGCAGAGGATCCGTACTCCTTCGCAATGATTTCGACTCAGGATGCGTGTGGTGTGCAAACTACGGTTCGCAACCATATTGCGTGAATTGCAAAACTCAACATCTGACCGAACGTTTCAAACGATTGAAAAAATGACGCCATCGCACTCCCTAGGGAAAAGGACTCGTAAGGAGAAGGTTGTCATGAATTATGAAATTGCATTGTACTGCAGGGTCAGTAGGGAGAAGAAGGGCACGACACTCCATGCTTTCCATAGTTCGGTACTAGTCGCATTACTCCAGAACTGATCCAAACATATCCAAACTGTACACCTTTCGAATCTCCCCACGATCACCAAAAAGCTCGTTTGCTTCTAACCAGTGGACTCCTTCGCTGCGTTCACAACATTATCAGCATGACCACACTTGCATATGTACTTAACGGTGTCAAAACAAGGTGCCCCATCCAAACCCGTAGATGCTTTTCAACAAAGGTTTTCCTTTCAAGACATGAACCCCAAGTAAGCCACAACCTTTGCCCAGCTTTATTCCTGCCATGGCCACTCGCGTCACCGATTTTATTGTAATCAAAAACGAACCCCGA